TCTGCAGGCGGCATCGTGCTGATAGAGGGCATGTGAAAGTTCTTGGCGAGTAGTCTGCAGCTGCTGCCGCAAGGTGAAACTATGAAGCATTACAGCATCCTAGAACAGATATCAAAAGGAAAAAGTGAGAAAGGAGCACATGTATTATTTCACAAATTTTAAAAAAGGAAGATAAACAAACAAAAACAAACAGACTCACTGGAATATGTGTTTAAATGAAAAAAGGAGGATAACAAGATCGAATTCGCTTTTTTGGTCTCAGCTAAAGAATTCAAGTTATTTAAATCAATGTACCAAACAAACATATTTTTTGATCCTCTACTAATAGAAATGAATTAAAATTGATTCTAAAGACCCAGGGTTTGTCACAAAACTTGCAATTCAACAAAGGAAAGGGGCAAATCTTCCATTAGATTATTATTTTGTGGCACAGATTAGATTTATAATAATGTGTTGTGACCCATCATACAATGCACAATTGAAAACAAACAAACAAAATAAACCCAAAACAACTGTCCTGTTGTTAAAAACTGCCAGAGAGGGATAAATGGTGCACTGTAACACACTTTTAATTGTTAAACTATGTAACACCCTACAGATTGATTTTACTTCTACATATTTATAACTAATTTGGGGCAACCGTGGCTCAGGGGGTTGGGAAACGGATCTGTAACCAGAAGGTCGTCGGTTCGAGCCCCGGGCTCTCTGTCCTGGTCGTTGTGTCCTTGAGCAAGACACTTTACCCTACTGCCTACTGGTGTTGGCCAGAGGGGCTGAAGGCGCGATATGGCAGCCTCGCTTCTGTCAGTCTGCCCCAGGGCAGCTGTGGCTACAACTGTAGCTGCCTCCACCAGTGTGTGAATATGAGAGTGAATCAATAGTGGAATTGTAAAGCGCTTTGGGTGCCTTGAAAAGCGCTATATAAATCCAATCCATTATTATTATTAATTTATATTGATTGATTAATAGCTGACTCCCTACTTGTTTAAAGGTTCTTAAATGTTGTGTGTGTGTAATGTGTTGTTGATGTAGTGTTAAACATTAATAAGAAAAATCAATTTAAAAACAAAATGATACATACAATAGATACAGTATAAAGTGCTCTGTTCTTTGATATCTAAGAGTTTACAGGACTTACCCATTCATCTTGAAGGGACTTGAGAATGGCAGGAATACTGGTTGCCGATGGTGCCTTTGGTCTAATAGGATGAGCCACTAAAAGACAGGAAACCTCTTCAGTAACTTATCAAGGCTTATTTGCAATGAGATTTGAGTATTTAAGGGCATATGACGCACTGATTTTCTTTTCATATATAAATCTTGATAATGTTCTATGTTTCTATGAATATCACAAAGAGTAGTTCACGAACACCAATCGAGGTTTGCTTCACCCCTGAAGGCCACACAAATAAAATTAAAACGTAGAATATTTTGCTTCTTCTGAAGTTGAAAATAAAAGTTGATTTGTTTGGAAGGTTTTATTTTTCCGCTTCACTTGAATTTTTCAGGTATTGTTTGGTTTTTTAATATGATAAATACAATACAGTACAATGCAACACGCCTGCAAACTTCAGCCTACTAAACCAAAGCCGAGCATCATGCCACTGATAACGACCTCTCTCACGGAAGTAGCATTACTCTGTATGAGCTTTATTACGGTCTATTGACTTATAGAAAACACCCAGAAACCCACCTTTGATGTCTACGAGCTGCTCCTCGGACAGCGGCTGTCCGTTCATCGGGTCCGTCCCATTCTCTGCGATGTACTTCTCGATCAGCCTCCGTTCAAACACCTGGTTGGACACCGGAGAGACGCACGGGTGCTCTGGCACTTCATTAGAAACTGTAAAAGAGTTCAGTTCCGGCTTTTTAACACCACATAACTACCAGCAATTTAAATAAACACACAATTAAAAAAAGAGAGCTCGCTGAACTATATAAAAGCAGAAGGCGGTGCTGCATGGCCGCTAACGCTAGCTAAATCAGCTAGCAGCATTAGCGCGGTACCGTGCTAACCGGCCTCCGTCATATCAATGAATTCAGCTTCACCTACTTGCACAAACCAAAGCCATGTTCCAGGCAGAGTCCTACAAGTCTCGTCTTAATTGTGATTTATGCTCGCGCTTTACTTTAAAGTTGTTGCAGCTAAGGTAGACTTTACTTCTGTTTGGAAGTAGCACGCTGTTCTTTCATTGCCGCTACAACGAAGATTCTTCTTCTACGCTTTGACTTAGCTTCAATGTCCCAAACTCTGCCACCTACCGTCATGCGCTGAGGAGAACGAGAACGAGTTTTAGCCAAATAGACGCTCACGACACAAGAGTCAGAATCAGCTTTATTGATCAAGTATGTGTACACATACAAGGAGTTTTTGCACTCAGTGTACATGACAGAGTAGCCAACGTACAAGCAGAGTAACAACATGACACCAACACGGCACAGACAATAATACATTTATGGCATATTTATAGTCCAAAGTTGCAGAGTGCAAATCTGTTGGAATAAATAAGAGATGGACAGCTAGTTAGTATATATACAGTATATCCATGAGGATTGACTATAAATATATATACGGCATATAGCTATGTACAACAGGACAGAACAGTATATACAGTATGCTTTGATTCAGCATCAGGTATGGTGGATGTTTTAAATACAGAGACTATGTGAGTGTCCTAAATGTTTATCAGAGTGATGGCCTGTGGAAAGGAACTGTACAGATGGCTGCTTTTTTGGGCAAACGGTGCTCTGTAGCACCTACCAGAGGGTATGGAGTGATATTGCCTGCTTGTGTCCTGACTCTGGATTTGTTTTTCCTGCAGACTTCACTGTCCATCATAGTCTGTTCTTGTCCTGCATGGATGCTGATCCAAACAATACCGACATGAGTGAGCAGAGAACAAACTGGATTATTCCAGAGTTGAATAGATCATCACCTCCTGAGGCAGGTTGAACCTCCTGAGCTGGCGCAGGCTCTGCTCTGCCTTTTTGATAATAGTGTCTATACGGAGTGACCACTTTAGATCTTGGAAGATTGTGGCAAGCAGGCATAATGGAGAGGGACTCCTCAACTCCACTGTTACTGCTACAGTTTTGAGCGTATTCAGCTCTAGGCTGATCTGACTGCCCCACAGGGCCAGCTGTTCAACTCCACATCTGTGTCCTTGATAAGGCCGACTTCAGACCGTCATCAAACATCACAATTCTGACTGACAGGTCTTTTGAGAAACAGTCATTTGCATAGAGAGAGAAGAGCAAAGAGAAGAGGACCACCCCTGGGTGGCCAATATACATACAGTGTAAAGACGACATCATCTAAAATGTGTTTCTTAAAGATTATTTTTTTATTTTTTGAGTGATGACATTTTGACATTATGAAAATATTACAAGCTTTGGGGATAAAAGGTTATCCTGCACACAACATTCAAATATTAACTGCAGTATTTGGTGAAACATGTCACATAACTATTATAAGTAGAATTACCCCAAAGATTTAATACACTGCATAAATTGTTAAAAATGCAGACGAGCTATTTAGAATAATAATTAAGTATGGACAACATGATGGGTGAGAACTTAAGTCTATATTGCTGTACAGTATTGAAAAATGAAATTTATCAAACGTTACCACAACAACTGGTGGGTAGCCCTAGAGACTGTCTTAAACACAGGAGCAGTGCAGATCATATTGGTCCTGAGGGTCCGGAGGTAGGTAACGGCAGGAGATTTCAGGAGCACCATCAGGCAGTACAATATGAGACAGGAAGGATTATGCTCAACTCATGCTAGGGCTGCTCGATTATGGCAAAAATGATAATCACGATTATTTTCACTGAAATTGAGATCTCGATTATTTGACGATATTTATTTAACCCTTTAAGACCTACCATAGAACCAAGTCCGCCAGAGCTTATATTATATTTTTACATGTTGTAGTGCCATTTGTGGGAGCATTTCAAGTTGCTATACAACTATTATAGCCCATATTTTAATAATATGTATGCATTAAGTCCATAGTAACTACATTAATTGCAAAAAAGTACAATAAACTACAAAAAAAAATTGAAAATCATTTTTGTTTTTTTTGCATATATTTCTACTTGGAGAAATTTAAGAGGCTTATCCTTCAAAACTTTAAATACAAAAAAGTTGCAAAAAATAGTTTACAACAGGAAATTTATTTTGAGTGTCTTCATAGTTTTATTTTGGAAATACATCAATTTTTATGTACTGCAGGAAAAACGAAAAAACAATCCTATGATGCAAATTTGCAAAGAAAACAGCATCAAAATAAACTATTTCCAGCAGTGCAATTCGAGTTCTAAGCATCCCAGAAACTATTCAGAAAAGTCAAACATGACCAGTATAGGCTTTTAAGGCCTACAAGTAAAAAAAACTACAATTTCCGCAAAATGACGTCACTTCCGGTTTCGGGCAGGAAATGGCGGACATGTGACAGTCTGTTTAACTGTGGGAAGTGTTACGAACAGCTGATCGGATCGGCAAAGCGTGTTTCTGGAATATTATGTTTTTGTTCCTGCAAGCGCTTTTTATGCAATTTTTGCAAAGCTTTATGTGGAAGGAAACCGTGACCGAGGACAAGCTGATGGCATCAGATGTAAGTACAACTCCTCCGGTTTCATATGCAAAACAAATTATTGCGCTAGCTTACAGGTCCAGGTTCTACAAGGATTTAAAAATAGTTATGCAAAACGGAGCGTGCTGCTCTGACCGGATCTAAAGGGTTAACAATGACTTTAAAAAATAATATAAAATAGTGTGCAACACCACTGAAGTTTTTTTTACCTCTCTTTTCAACCAACGGCAGTCACTCTCCTCTCCAAATAACTTCTGCTTAGCTTTCCGAGCTTCCCTCGGGTCCTCTTAATCAGCAGTCTCCAACCTTTTTTGCGCCACGGACGGTTTATGCCTGACAATATTTTCACGGACCGGCCTTTAAGGTGTCGCGGATAAATGAGGGAGGGGCCAATAATCGGCTCAGTCATTTTTAATGATCGTTGAAAGCCCAGATCGTAATCGTGATTAAAATTCGATTAATTGAGCAGCCCTAACTCATGCTTCAGAAAAATTACATCACAAAGCAAACTATTAAAACCGTGCATAAGGCACAGGTGAGGTTCTTCTCGGTCAGGAGCTTCACCGTTTGTGTGATTTCTCCATGTTCTCTCTTTTATGAAAAGTTCAGATTCTTTGACGTGTAAATACTGCAGGACTCAGAGGTGTCTGTGTCTAGTGGCAGCGTGGAAAAGAAGTCTTGTGATTTGTTCCCCCTTCCCTTATCTCCATCCTTTTTGATTTGGAACTGAACGCAGTCCTCGGATGAGTGGAGGCAGTCTGAAGCTCCGGGCACAGGGAAGGAAATCCTGTCCTCGTCCTCATTAGATTTAGCCTGCTAGCAAGGGATGAAGACACAAGCTTAAGCAAATATCATAATAATCTGTGGCATCTAAATATTCACAGCTGGAGAGCTGTATTACCTCAACAGTTAAGTTATGACTAGGGGAATTCCCAGCTGTTGCTCTGTGCACATCCTGGTTCTCGGCTCTTGGAGACCCTACCGTTACCGGAGCATAACCCTAGAAATACAAACAACAACAGATATGCACAAAGACACAATTCAATTGAATGATTTTAGCTCCCTTAAAAAAGAAGAAGATTATATTAGTTAATCAGTCTTACAGTGTGAACAGGACTGGCTCTTGGGGTCCATTTTCTTGGTGTTCCAGTCTGCTGAGAGTAGCTGTAGTGACCTGGGGGCTGAGGAGAGGGGGGACTGTAGTGCTGCAAAAGAAAAAACAAAACCCCACAAACATAAATAAACCAATAACGACAAAGACCTAGGAACTCATCCGACTCACAGACCATCACAATTCACCGGTTACTGCTCGTAAAAACAATAAATGTGACCTTTAGTGATCATCGTGGACCGGTGTGTCTGTTAAATGTTTAGCCGTGATATCAGGTTGCTCCTTGCTAGTGATGTGTGTGGCATCATCACGCTGACATCTACGGAGCTTCAGTCAAAATACTTCGGACAGAATATATAAAAATATCTACAAATTATCTGAAATAATTAGAGGGGATAGGTTAATTGGATAATTCAAATTGCCACTAGGTGTGAATGTGCGAGTGAATCTGAGTGTGAATGGTTGTCTGTCCCTGTGTGTTAGCCCTGCGACAGACTGGCGACCTGTCCAGGGTGTACCCCGCCTCTCGCCCTATGACAGCTGGGATAGGCTCCAGCGCCCCCTGCGACCCTGAAAAGGATAAGCGGTAGCGAATGGATGGATGGATGGATATCTGAAATAAGATACTTCAGTTCATCAGACTCTCTGGAGCAAAAAAGAAATGTCAAAAAACGTCAACAAGTGGCTTCTGTCGGTGTCAAAGTGCATGCATCTGCAATAAGATTGGCTCGACGGCTTGTAATCATTTACTTAGCTGTGGACTCTCCTGGTTTCCTCACCTGGATGTTGACCCTCGGGGGGTTGGCTGGCAGCGTGCGGTGTGTTCTAAAGCACGTGATGAGTTGGGAGAGGCTACAGTTTGGGTAACGTTTCATGAACAGGATGAAACCAGCCAGGGACACGAACATGCCAGAAGGGACAGTAACGGATTTGAGGAGCGCTCGCCAACTCCCTCCCCTTTTGTCTGAGAAGATGGCAGACACATGGATTTTAGGAGGAGTGGCAACTATGGATCAAACAACTTCTGATTGATACATGCTTCCAAAAACGTGGCACAATACCCACTGATCACGTGCAAGTAGGTGGAGGATACCAGGTTGCCATTCCTGTCTTTAACTTCATACAGCCCATCATGCCTTGAGGTCAGCCTTGCAATGATCACCTCGTAGATGGAGCCGTTCCTACTCAGTGAGATGATACCCCTGTAGTGCAGGTCATGGTCTGTTATCTGCCCCTCACGGATGAGCTGCATAGGGCCACGTGGGGGTTTGGGGTCAAAGGGGCCCAGGGAGGATTCATCAGGAAAATGGCCAGGGGTAAAAATGAGATGGGCATGAGCAAGAGGAAGATATAGAGGCAGGATTATGGACTCTTTGGTAAAGCGTGTGATGTTGAAGGAATGCCCTGCATCCATCCATGTGTAAAATCATGAAAAATGGAGTAGTGGTGAATGTGGAAGTATGAGAGGGCATCAGATAGAAAGGGAAGGATAAAACAAAACCATTAGCACTGTAAAGTCACAAAGTTAAAGGTAGTCAGTCAGCTTCTTAAAACCCACGTTTCTGCTCTGCTCACCACGGACGGTGAGGGTGCTGCGACCCAGCACCTTCCCGTTGTCGTCTCTCATGGTGTAGTTGCCTTGGTCTGCTTGCGTCACTCTCTCCGCCACCCAGACCTTCCCCCCTCTTAGCAGCCGCCCCCGGCCAGCGTTACCGGTTTCGGGGTCTGTCCGGTTCCAAAGCACGACCGGCACAGCCTCAGGCGGAGCGCCCCGGTGAGAGAACTCCAGCAGGGAGCCATTTTCGGGGATGCTGTGCTCAAAGGTCTCCCCATAGTTTCTGCGGTAGGGTTTAATGCATTCTGAAGGAAGACGAAGAACCACGAGGTAAGTGAAAGACAGAAAGAGAACAAGTTTATTTAAGTACAATTTAGAGATGCAAAAGTTACTTTCTTTTTAACTAAACTGGTGAAAAGGAAAGTGATATGGCAAAAGACCCACTCCTAACACACATCAGTGTACTGTAAATGATCACAAATCAAAACGAAAAGAAAAGTGATAATATATCTTTCTTTATGATACTTTGATGAGTACATTTTCCTGACATTACTTGTGTAGGGACCATTCGTAGGCTATGCATGCTTACGGCAGTGTTCAGCTGCAGGAGAGGTGGGAAAGATTGGTTCAGGGGGCAGTGGCAGGTAAAGTAATGCCACACCTGCTGTATATTTATACCAATTAACCTCTCCTCTTTTTATGCAGCAGGGGTGTGGCTGGCAAACGTTATATACACACACACAAACACACCTGACACGGAGTCAGAACAGTTGCTACAACTTCTCTGCTTTAAGGCAATGAATAGATTGCCTATGACATCAAAGCATAGGGACACATTAAGTTATTAAATAACTTAATGTTTCAAGCAAAGAGAGGCAGATCATTGAAAAAGCTGGCTCTTTTGCATCATGACACAAAGCAATGAATTTCGCCAAAGAGAGGCAACTGTCATACCCGAAACGATCAGACGGACAGTCTCGTAGGTGAAGCCCATGGACAGCTTGTTGGCATAAACTCCCTGGTCAGCATGACTCACTTCTTTCAGGACTAACGACTTATCTTTGGTCCACTCAAACCGTGGGTCCTTAACCTACAGTTGCATGGCAGATCCATTTTTAGGCAACACAGCAACCAAACACACACACACACACAAAAAAAACCCAAGTGTCAACACTCGTCCACTCACAGTGGTTTTCTCCAGCAGGATGCGTTTCGGCCCGTCGGGATACGGTGTAAAAGTCACGATTCGCGACGTTGAGTCCACCGGTAGACGAAACTCCTTCCCGACGCAAACAGTCTGAACTTTTTCTCGGTCACCTGTCGAGGTGCAAATGAAAGTCAGCAACATCATTGGAGACCATGTGCTGCAGAAGAAGGATGCATGAGCAGTAAAATGTGACTTTTGACTCACCTAGTAATTCCCAACCTGCAGGAAAAGTACGAGTAACATAATTAATAATTTTCTTCAGACCTCAGATACGGACTGTAAACTCTCCTACATATGTAAAAGGTTGACCTACTTTTATGTTATTAGGTCATTTAAGGTCATCTATTTTGTAACAGATTTTTAGAGTCTGCTATGTGATTTAACTTTTAAGCTCTTTAATTCAGCATATGTACACGTTTATTAATTGTTACTGTTCACGTACTGACTTTATACTGCATATTTTTCCACTGCATTTTCTCTGGGCACCTCTCACATTTATTATATTTTTGCATGTTGGAAATTTATATTTGTGAGAATTATATTTCAGAGTTGAAGTGCTAAAAAACAAAAATCTCTGCTCTTCAAATCTGGGCTGGCCATTCTTCTTTGCCTTTGTTTTACTTAATCCAAGACCCTTTAATGAAATGGCTTTCTAGAAACATTCTGCAGATAATGGTGACGTTATCGACAAATGTATTAATTAGTCACTTTTTAAAATAGTAACATTGACTTCACTTTTACTACGAATAACCTAACCGTAATATAAAGCACCAGTAAGTGCATTATTAATAATTATTTAAGCAGAAAGAAACAGAAAAACTACGGGTAGTCTTATTAAAAACTGGTGCCACACTTACCCAGTGCAAAAGGAAGGGTGAAAAGTGCAGTGTAGAGGACGCAGGAGGACATCTTCTCCTGTAAAAGACAGCGGATTGTTTCATCTGTAAACGTAATTGACATTCACACCAACCCTCCTCCGAAAACAAGCGGCCAGACGGGACATGCGATCATTAATCAACAAGCTGCAAAAGGCGGGGAGCTCAGCGACAGCCCAAATGATGTCGATGCGGACTCAGCGCACTGCACACACTCATGTCCCCCCATGACGTCCTGTCCGCTCTTTGAAGTCATGTCCACTCAGGTGTCCAGCATGTTTCCCATCTTCTGAACCATTGTAGCGCTACTACTGGCTGCCGGGTCATCAGTTACCGATCATCAACAAACGATTACTCAGTTTGTGCGTAATGTGAACTCACCTGCAGGATGTGAGGGTAATTTAAAAAAAATGTTTTTGTGGATGAGGATAAGAGGATAACGACGACCTCCGCAGAGCGCGCATGCCCACTGCTCCCCCTTCTGTTATGGCGATGGATACGTCGTATTCTCGGCCGCTGATACGCAAAGTGCGTCACATTTTGCAGTTCTTGTAAGGGAACATATTTTCCCTCCCTCTTACTATGCTGCTAGATTTTAGACTTCTGTAGTAACTCGTCAGATTCTGACTGTACGTGCAAATGATGAGATGATCTTAGAAAATATAAGAGATCATAACGCGACATGGAACACCTCTCACTTAAATTTTCCTTCTTGTTAAAAAATTAACAAAAGTTAATTAACAAAATTAACTTGTTAGTTTCTACAGTGAGGGAAAATTACTTGATCTCCAGCTCCCCAGAAATAAAGAGTCTCTAGATTTGATGGTAGTTTCATTTTAATGGGAGAGACAGAATATGGACCAAAAATCCAGGAAAAAACACATTACATAAAAATAATAAATTGATTTCATGTCATTGAGTGAGTGTTTTATCCCCAAGAACGACATAAGCAAGTTCTTTGTGGAGAAACCCTTGTTGGCAAGCGCAGCAGATGTTTCTTGTAGTTGGTCACCACGTTTGGACTCATCTCTTTTACTCCTCTTTACAGAAACGCTCTATTGATTTTCTATGGCAGGAATGTCAAACTCTTATTACACCATATTACACATACAGCCTACTTTGATCTTAAGTAGGTAGACAACATCCCTCAGATTTCTCAATATAAGAAGTCCAATTTCATTGATACATCTTAGTTTTACTACATGATAAAGACATTTTGTTCTATTTTAATATATAGAAATCAATAGAAATCTATAGAAATCACCCAGCACAACTCTTCTGGCTTAAATGATAAGAAATAAATGTAAAATGACAAAACTGATTTATCTGTGTGCCACATGGGCACACCTGACGTTTGTCTCTCTCCGTTGAAATGAAACAAACATAAAAATTAGAGACTGTTCGTGTCTTTGTAAATGAGCAAACTTGCTGTTTCAGGAGTGTAGGGTGTGTGGTTTATCTTTATTTGGGGAGGTTTACATGAGATAAGTGTCACATGAGATAAGTAAAGTCCTTAACAGTGCACATGCTGACACTTTAAATATGTTTTTAGTATAGGTTATATACATGATTAAAATAAAGCAGGTTTTATGGTGCCGGACCAGTTATTTCCCAGTGTTTTTATGTAACATGTTTAAAAACGTCTTGACTGCGATTCCTTTAGAATTCATTCCTACTGAATTCACTTGAAATGGGGCGGCAGTCAACAAAACGGTGCAAAAAGTTGTATTTTTATCCCCTTTAAACTGCTTTTATTTATGATATGGTGGTTTTAAAAGCGATCTTGGAGGCAGAAACAACACAAATGCCTGGTTTGTTATTGAAAAGTATCCTGGGAGATGGGCCCTGTATGCAGTTACAGTGGGAGAGGTGGAGCCTAAGTCACGCCCAGTCCTTCTTTTCTCCACCCAGCAGCTGCAGGACGCACAGAACTCAATCACACAAAAGAAGTACGGTCTCATTATTCTTTTTCTGTTTGTCCACAACTTCTTCTTAGTCAGGCTTTTTAATACTGAACATCACCTGTGTCACTGATTTGCTATTTTCGGGGTTAATTTTTGTGTGTTATCCGAACATTTCATTATAGAAGGGAATGCGGTACGGATTTGGTCTTGGAAGCTGAGGGAAAAAACACTCAGAAAAAAGAGCCTCAAGTCACCTCTCTGCTCTTTTTCTGCAGGACATGTCGCTTGTGTTTTTGATGTTTTCCATTGTCTTCTTCGGTGAGTAGAGCTCATTCCCACATTCTAACATATAAACACCTGAAATCTGAAATACAACGCTCGATGGTTTGGGATTATTTACAACAAACGTTAATTGATTTCCATGCCACACACTCCGTGGATACAGCATGTACAAAGTTATCCAATCTCTCCGTGGAGCCAGGTGTTAAGTGGCACTCTGCCGGAGCGAATTAAAGTGCGTGCATGTTGTAGTAAAAGACGTTTGGTGTTGTGGGGCTGCTGTAGACTAATGCAATTTAAATCAGTAGCAGAACACAGGAAGAACAATACGCATTGTCTCCACACCCATCTGCTATTCCCAGAATTAGTGCTTGGTGCATTTCATTTATCAATAAATTATTTGGGAAACATAAACACCTATCAACGTACATCCACCCATAAATAAAAATAAATAAATAAGCAAGCATATTGGGTTTTTTTATTGTTTTTCGAAAGAAAACAAAACAATAATCTGATTAATTTCATTGAAATATAAATATACAGTTACATATTTATGTGTTTTAAACTATTCACGGTATTTATGCATTGTCATTAATGTCTTTAGCCGCAAAGTGAAAGGAAATGTTTACACGACGGAAACCAGAAAATTCAGCACAGCCGAGATTTCTTTCCGTTAGCTGGTTTGACAAAACATATAACCTCAGTCAGAGATAACGGGTAGCACGACGGTGGCAATCAACTTTTTCTTATTCTTTATTTGTCTTCTGCTTCCGGTTCTGTGAGCGCTCACACGTAAATATGGGCGTTTTGCAGCGTCACGTGACTCATCGTCCGCATGCGATAATCCCCTAAGAGTGGCGCTTAAAATGGTCATTTATAATATTTAAAGAAAAAACATATCATATCCATTCAAGTTAATCACGTTATCACTGCTGTTTAAGGTAACAGCTGCAGATTAGAGCTCTGAAACTTTAAACTGGATCTATTTAAACGTTAAAGGCCATTGTCCAATATCCGAATAGGCAGCGTTTCTGCCGAATGGCAGTTTGTCAGCAGATCAAAGTGTAATTATTTTATTGGTTGTCTTGATGCATGCTCAATCATCCAGATAAGGACATCCCAAAAAGTTAATCCTGTGTCTAGATGAACAGAGTCAACTTTTTGGTATTTTATTAGTTGAAACGGTGTTCATGGTTTATGTTCAATGTTCATGGAGCTGCAATTCCAGCAGTGCTAAAGAAACTTAGCAACAGATTAAAACCACGTATTCCTATATATAACAATACGTGGTTTTAATCTGTTGCTAAATTTTTTTTATACTTTTTATATCGAATTGATTAATTATATGTGCACATTCCTGTACACTCTGTGCTTCATTCATTGGTTTTTAATAAGGTTTCGCTTAACAGCTAAAACATGCTGTAAATAAAAGAATCAGTGAACACGTTGCGTTTCTGGAGGATTTAAATTGAAACCTGACCTGCTCCCTAGCGGTTTTTGATACGGGCGAAACGGGCGGCTGCCCAGGGCGGCATCGTGGTGGGGGGCGGCATCACGGGCATCGGCAAAAAATAAAAAATTGCTCGTACTCATGCTGCCCCGACATCAGCCAGCGCATATTGGGAATGGCATAGGCACCGATCGGTTTTCTATCGCCCATTTCCTGGGAGTAAGGGCGCCCTCCGTTTGCGAGGTGCGCCTGCTGTTTACGGCACAGAGAGGAGAGGGCGGGGGATTCTCTGGCTGGCTGAAGCAGCATCTAATAACCAACTCGCAAAATAAAACAAAATAAAAACTAAACAACAAACACGAAAACACCAGACATTATGATACAGACTTATAATTTGCACCGATGTTTTTTCGAAATTCTATACGCGAAAAGTGAGCGCAGGAGCGCCTGCTTGTAGCTGTGCTGAAGTCAAAGTAAACTTTATTGTCATCTCCGCTATATACAGTCCAGTATATAGAGAGACGAGACGACGAGGCTCCAGTTACCGCGGTGCAAGTAAACAAACAGGGAGTGTTCGCCCCGTGCGCCAAACAGGCCAGGACCGCCACCAGCATAAATGACCACAGTGACTCTTACTTTGAGCTTAGCCATCTCAGCATAGCTGGTCAAGCCATAGATCTGGCTTCATTAATACACCTCGCTGTTTGTAATGTATGGGTTTGAGTTAATGGCTCAGTAGTGCTGATATCTAAAAGTGGCCAGTTGCTGTTCTAAGATGGTCAGCCATTGCTGGTTTGAGAATAGCGGCTGATGAAGTGAGTGCATCAGAGGGACCAATCAGGTTGAACGTTTGGAGACAAAGTTACAGGCAAGGCAGAAATGGTTTAATGGTTTGGAGCTGCTGTGGTGACTGAGCTGAAAATAGGGTAATTTACTGATGTGAGATGTTGTTCATGTATTTCCTTCATTCAGCTAATAATAACTTGGTTTATTTCTGATGCTTTATGACGAATGTGAGTTAATTCATCAGATTGAGACTTATACTTTACTCTGCCTCGTGCTTTGGGGATGAGAATGCTTTTTTTATGCTGCTGCATTTGTGTAAATTCAGTGAGGTTCCAGAACCTTGTCTTCAAAATTACTTTCAGAGTGTAACAAAATACCGGTATGTGTGTGTGTGTGTGTGTTTGGTATATTAATGGAAACAACTGATATTATGTTGTCAGATGTTTGTGGTTTCAGTTACATTAACACTACCTCCATCTGTCTCTTCTTCTCTTGCATCTTTTTGATTAAAGGTTCATCCTCTGGTATACAAACTGATGAGGTGTGCTATGGCAGGAGGTGGCAGTTTCCATCTAATTATATACCCTCACGTTATACTGGACCAATATACTTTACTGAAACTAATACGGGATCCAAAAAAGTTGTTATAAATAATGGGATGGTGAGCAGCCTCTATGTGACCATTACATTTCTGCAATATGATAAATGTTAGGCCTATGTTTGAAACAATTAAATCAAAGTATATAGAATATGTTATAATCTGAGGAATATATATGTGCTGTCTATCTTTCAGGCAAAAGACACACGCTTTAGAGTCTCTCCTGGCTCAATTTATCTTACAGATGTAGAAAAAAGAGATGAAGGAATTTATTCTGTCTCATCTGGTGGCTACCAGCGACAAGATGTTGTTGAACTGAAAGTCTTGGGTAAGAATTTGAACTGTACTGTATATTTAGATCAAAAATATAAAGGTATGTGTTTTAGCTACCTGTTCCTAAGCACAAGTCCCCTCCTTTTTTTTCTTAATCTGCATTTTAAGAATGTGC